ACGAGGAGTTTTATTTCACATTTTTTTTTTTTGCTAAAAGAGATTTATTTCACTTACAAGTACAAAAAGGAAAATTCGACCAAAAAAAAAAAGTACAAAAAGGAAAATTTATGAACCGGTTTGATTTTTCAACTCTCTGTTGTCCCCTTTCTTTTAATAAGTCAAATCAATCTATTACCCCAATCTAAAAAATTCTTGTCACATTTTTTTGCACTCTATATTCTATCCTGGGAATCAAAAATAGATCAAACGTTAAATCATCATTTAAAACAAGAAATATATATTTTACTTATATACTTAAAGAATTATCAGACTGTTTTGTTGAAAATACATTGCCAAAAAAACTAACTTAAAAGCTTGATAAATATAAGACTCTCTCTTTTTTTAGTAACAAATGCTATAAGTTAATTTAATGAAAAGTATAACAAAAATGGGTAGACTTCCATTCTATCAAATTATTTTTAACTTTAAAAAGTGGAAAATTGAAAGAGGTGCTTGTCTTGTAAAGTCCCCCATTGTTTTAAGGGTTGCACAAAAGAATGTCCCTCGTAATCATGAAAATGAGCTGTGTTACATCATCCACTCTCTCTCTATAAATCTTCTCTAGATTTTCCTTTCTTTTTTTCTTTAATCATATGTCCCTTCAAATATTTCCTACTCCATTAGTTATGTAGTAACTCTTTCTTCGCTTTATTTCGGCAATAAATTAGGCATCATTATTTCAGGTACAGATTCACTCCTCCGTAAATATGTGAATATGTAATGTAACAAGAAAATGTGTTTAGTGAAAATCAATGTTCAATCTCTCTCTCAAGTCTCGACTAACTAGTAGTAGTATTAAATAACAAAAAAAAGTAGTGTTCTTTTATGGCTTAGCAATGTGTCAAATTTGTGGGTTTTGAGTGTTAGAGATTACGAGTTGGTGAAATGAATTATGGAGTATACTAAGATGAGTAAAGATACAATTGGAATATTACTAGACTAGTAAAAAATCTTGTATATGTGATTGATTTATTTTTTACAAAAAAATGACCTAAAATTAGAGTGAACAAATTAAGTGGAGATGGGAAAGCAATAAAGGGAAAAGAGGACAATGAGGTGAGGATAAGCATTACCCTCCATTTCTCTCTTTCTCCACTCCACGTTACCTTTCTTATCTCCTTTAAATTTTCAATAATGTTTTTTATTTTTCTCGCAACAATTATTGTTCTATATAACCAAAAATGACAACTATTATTGTTTCAAATTCAATGCATCACTTACTAGCCAAAAGAGATGTTTTGAAAAGAGAAAAGAAAAGGTTACTACATTTTTAATCAAATGATTGATTTTTCCACATTGATTTTTAGATTTGATTCAGAAATTATTTGAAGGGATACAAATTCTTTAAATTTGTACACAAAATACAACAATATATGTTTGTATTTTATTCATTTCTTTATTACACATAACAAAAAAGTGGAAGATACAAGAAGGATATCAATGATATGTGTCATCAGAATTCTCAAGCTAACTCTTCGGACCACTCTTGTAATGATGGAGTCTTGACGCCGATATTCTTCATGTCCTGAATATTCGCTGATCCAAAAGAAGTTACGACAATGTTAGTGCCTTTTTACAGAGAATTACAAAGAATAAAAAAAATCAAGATTCTACTAAAGAAGATCTTTGTTCGTTTGTCATTTGTTAGAAATATATTAGATGCATCCTTCTTTCTTCTGTTTGATCCAATACTTGAATGTGTTTAGAGATGATTATCGTTAAACCACAAAGACAAACACCAATAGTAAAACATGAGTTTACCGGTATGTATCTCTGGTGTTGCAGCAGCTGTGGCATCTGTAATAACAGTCACAGATGGATAATCCAGCTCCACTGCATCAAAAACCGTTTGTCGGATACAGTTCGGTGTTTGAACACCTGAAAAATGTTACAGAAACACAACACCATAAGGAAAACAAAAGAGTCCATAAAAGTGTTTTGACACACATAAGACTCAAACATACTCACCAGCAATCACTAAGTTGCTAACACCGGAAGTTTGCAAGAACGAATGAAGATTGGTACCAAAGAAGGCGCTGAAACGTGTTTTCACTATCTTATAGTCTCTTTCTTTGATCGTCAGTCCATTTACCAATTCTGCACCCACAGTGCCTTTAACAGTTGGACCGACTTTCTCAGAATTGTAGAGATGACGCCTGAATAACTCAACATCTCTTCCTTGCGGATCGTGTTCTCGAACAACCTGATACGATTAAAACAAAACAAAAAAACACTTTGTGGATTAAGACTACCACACACCGAATCAAGATTAGTTCCTTCTCATATGATTCATCAGTTGGCTCTCATATGGTTAAGGTTTAGGCTCACTAGTAATGAGAGCCAACTGATGAATCATATGAGAAGGAACTAATCTTGATTCATCAGTTGGCTAAGATTAGTTGTGAGCTAATCATCAAGAAGACTGCTACAATTATCTTCCCTGATTTTTTAGACATCAAATTCACTTTTATATAGCACAATCAATCAATTGCAGATTTTTCAAATTTCTCGACGAATTGCACAAGTCCATGCCCATGGAAAAGAACAAGAGAAATGGAGAAAAATACCCAAATTACGAGAATGCCACGTTCCCTAGCGAGTTCGACGACTCTAATAACATTAGGAACTATTGATTTTCCTCCTTTCACTTGCATCACAGAACCTTCCTCTATGAAATCACTCTGCTCCCAAACGAAAACAAAATTCATACTCACCAAAAAAAACCCAGAAACACGCAACATAATCAAAACCCTACTAATACAACACATACACAGAGAGAGATATAGTCGTATAAGACCTGCATATCGATAACCAGTAGAGCAGTGTTCGTCCATCTCTCTCCCATTCTTCCCCACAAAAGACGATGATGATAAAGCCTTTACTCATCACAGAAATGGTTTAATCAACATTTTTGTGCTGACAATGGGCTCTTCTCATCGAGGCCCAACAACAACAAATCCTTACCGGTTTTCCGGTTTGCTTAACCTTCAATCGCTTTAGTGAAAAAACGAATGGTATTGAAAGAACCGGACAAACGTTAACAAAGTTACTACTACTGTATTAACAAGCTTTGGTTTAAGTTGTTGTAAAAGAGAAGAAAATTAAGCTAAAGAGAAATAAAAATAAAGGAGTCGATCTTCTTTTTGCAAAGGAGTCTTCACAATGTCTATGACCCGGGCTTCGATACCTCAAGGTAAACCATTTGAGTATAGCCATTGAACACAGAGTTATCGAGCCGACCTAAACCGATTCTTTGGAACAAACGGCGCTTGCCATCCGCTACAATCGGTGGAGTCGAACGAGCAGGGTCATAACGCGATTGATGGGTCAATGAAGGTCCTGCAACCGGAGGTAGCTCCCAGTAGACATCAAGAACCGATTCGACGAACCGACTGTTTTGAAAATGCTGATTATACGAGATTGGTGTGTTAGTGTGGTTGAAATCGTCTCTCATATCTCCTCTCACTCCCCACCATGTTTCGCTTGGTCCGCACAGTTCCTCTGTATCGACTGCTTTTTCCCAGAACTTCTTCCTCTTTGATCTTATCCTGGCTTCATCGCTGTCTTTGAAGCAGCTGTGTCCGCCTCCTGGGGAAAACAAACCGATCATATGAGAAAAACAAATCCAAAACCCATGTATCTAATCTTATGTGTGATTTTTTTTTTTTTTTGGTCACAATGTGTGATCTTTATAGAGCCTACCTTTTATGTATGACTGGTCGCATATCTGTCTCAGGGAATAGTGATCACCAGTTCCTGTATCGTAGTTGTCCTCGAAAATGAGATGTTGGAAACCCGCCTTCAGTGCCTGCTTTAGCCTGCTCTTGGTAGTATATCAGAGAAAACCAGTGAATTCTTCGCACATGCAATACAGGCAAGATATGAGAAATGAAAAAAAGTACTACCTTTTGAGTTCATTCTGATGGTCATCGAAAAAGACAACAACGCGGTTGAGATCCGTTATTCCATGTTTACTTAACACATTCTTCCAATCAACACTTCCAAAATCAACAAAATCTTTGCCTGCAAAGTAAGTGCAATTTCCATCCACATAGGCAGGGCCCTTTCTTAGATACTTCTCGGGGTGCCTGGGAGTTATCGAAAGAATCGGTGTATCGGGCATCGCCTGCCGCAGAACCCAAGTGGAGTGTCCCTTAAAAGCACCACTCTCAATCATCAGATCTGGTTTCAGCCATCGGGTCATAAACCATAGCCCAAAGCTGTGATCAAAACCCATTCCATTCATGTTGTTCTTTATCGGTCGTGTTTCATATATCGGCACAAACTCTTCTAGACCCTTGAGTAAATCCTTGGAGGTCCACTCAACTTCTTTTCCATGTTTCGATCTGCCTTTTGCCAAGGAAAAGAATTAAATACGTCCATACCATAACAAATCAATCAATCTGCTGATAAAACAATGCATCACAAAACACCTTCAAAAATCCAGAAAGTAGTCTTCTTCATCTAAATCACCAAGGAGATCGATGGTTCTTCTCTCAAGCTACCAAACTCATAATTAAAGTGTACTTAAATGGTTCTTCTCTACTCATTTCACAAACAGCACCAAAAGAATCCACTACTATACAGAGATTAGCCACTACCAACAAATCCAATTCATGTTACTTGTGAACAATTAATACTGCAACACTGTGTACATTGAAATTTCATCTGAAACGAATTCAAGAGAGCAATTGCTAAATCAAATCTCTATAGAAATGGAAACCTAGATCAAATCGCAACAAAGGATTCTAAGAAAATCCACATGGAAATCACTAGAGATTCCACAAAAAAAAGGCAAAATATCAGACGCAGATAAACCAAAGCTTACAACAAGAGAGAGATCTCGAGTGCTTACACCAAGGAACACCTAGGGCTCCAAAATCCGATTCGAGCCCATCGAGACCGAAGAACCCGATCCGAGCGGCCGGATCGAAACGAGAGATGCAGACGAAGCTTCGAGAATGGAAAGCC